TCCTGCTCCCCTCCGCGGCCGAGCCGAGGCCGCGCACGGGCTCCCGCGGTTCTCTCCCACGCGGCCCACCGGGGCGAGGCTTAATCCAACCTCCTCCTGACTCGTACGGCCAAGATTACTTTCTGTCCAGCGGCTCTGCAAACTTTCATCTCTTCCCTCCGAAAAGTTGAGATGCCGGGAGGGGAGGGGAGGGGAACTGGCCCACCAGATCTCAGAGCAGCAGGACTGGAAAAGATGGTGGCTGTAGGCAGTCAAAGTGAAGCGTGGCTACGAAGCGACCGGCCACCCTGCCCTCGCAGGGCTCGCCCAGACCCTTGCACCACTTCGCACCGAAGAATGCGCGGTACAGTCGAAGGTGGGAAGGTGCCGCAGAATTCTACACCCCGAAACGGCTGCCTTAGTTCGGCTGCAGCGCGTCTGCGGAGACACAGTGTCCAGGATGCCGCCCCCCCCCCCAGTACAGTATTTGATTTTAAACTGTAAGTTGCCCCAAGTGCGTAAGAACGAGAAGGGCAAGACACACATTGTGTATCTATAATTCAACACCACAGGATAGGATTTTGTATTGTATTTAGATATGCGCGTGTGCTAAATCAAAAATACTATAGGGAAGATAGTCGGGGGCATTAGAAAAATTAATGGAGGAGGAGATGGATATCGATGATGACTCCTGCACGGGCCCTTCGGATTCAGGCACAGTCTAGACTGCTGGAAAATGCTTTGCCTCATCCTGTATTTGGGGTTTCCAGGTTTGGTGGCCCTTTAATCAGATGAGAAATCAGGGTTTTGCCTCTAACTTTTAAGCAGAAGGATCTCTGATTTTCTGAAGAGCTCTTTGTACAACTGAAGGCTAAGACAGGAACGGGACATTGTAAAGTTACACAGGGCTGGATCAGATCAACAGCTAAGGCTTGGTGTTTCTGTGAGGCAGTGTGACTTGTTTCATGATTATGGAAAACAGAGAACTGGCTAGAAGAAGAGATTTCGACCTCTGGGAGAAGAAGGTTGCTTTCACCTCCGTGGAAATAATTGTGATATTGAATGGACTGTGAAGAATTCTGTGAAACTATAAGCTTGCAATCAAACTAAGGCAGCCAAGCAAGAGGGGGTTAGGCGGCCCTGCTGCATCTCCTTTTTTTGGACTAACCCCTCGAATGGGGCAAGAAATGGGGTTATCACCCAGATGAGAACTCAGAAAGAAATTTCATTCAGAAATAATTGTAAGGTGGAAGTGGAGGGAGTGTACTGATTCAACACCTTGGTTACACAACCAAGACACAGCTATACTGATGGTTCATACCAGATTGAGCAATGAAGGCAAATATTCCGGTTGCCATCGAAGAAGGGTGGGTCAGGGAAGGGCGCTGAATCAACACCAGGATAGTAGTGATCAGTGTATTACTGTATTTCAAGGGAAGCAGCTTCCTTAAAACAGAGAGAGAGAAAATGATCTGGAATGAAAATATGCTTTTCTCCCCCCTGTCCCCCCCCCCCCCCTCCTCCTTTTTTTTTTTATTGTTTCGCCGGGCACATCTGCTCT